ATAAATCAAAGGTTCTATAAAAGTGATCATAGAACCTTTGAATTAATTCAAGTTTTAGAAGGACAATTAAATTAAAAAATGTTAAAATCAGCCATAATGCTTTACAGTTTAAAGGAGAAATGAAAACCACAGAAATGTTGGATTAAAAGCCAATTAAGAAAGTGTTTTACTCTGATCTGCTCCAGCCTCATTCACTGACTGAAGTATCGATCCATAAGTCAATAAGTGACACACACACGGACGCACGCACACACACACACACACACACACACACACACTCACTCTCATCCCATCTTCATCTTATGATTCATCCTCTTGAAGAAGCTTGGGAAGGGTTAAGCAGATTTGGAGTCAGTCTGTTCTCAAAGTGTTAAAACAGATTGGATATGTTTGCGTGCTGTGTGTGTGTGTGTGTGTGTGATTATGTCTGATGTGTGTGTGTTAACAGCAGTGTCTGAGAGTCAGATTAATAGAGAAAATGATCTTCATTGAGTTCATTTCTCCCCTTCTTTTGTTCTTAATTTGCTCACTTTGTTTTAATTTAATTAAAATTTTTGTTTTATTTTAATTAGATCACCTCATTTAATAATAATAATAATTATATATAATATATAAGATATAATTACAACATTTTGATAAATCACTAGATTCATTTATTTTTACCTTTTGTATATATATATATATATATATATATTCAGCAATACTTTTTACTGCTGGAAAAAACTATATAATAGTACTTTTTAGTAATAATAGGACTTTTTAGTATTCTCATTTAAGTATTATTAAATAGATGATTATTAAAGTCGTCTATGAGTGTATTAGTGGTGATGAAAGATGATTTATCACAGGTAACAGATGTTAATGGAATAACAAAGGCTTTTGTGCTTCATGACAGCAAACACACATAACTTTCAGGATACACAAATCCCTTCATATAATGACGGATCAATGTAGATCTAGACAGATCAGATAAAAGCCTCCAAATCTCGACCTTCACCTGACTGCAACCTTTATTGACCAGTCCGTGTGAAGATTTAACATCATTTGCCCCCAAAGCACGATTAAGACTCCTTTTAAGCCGTATGCAGTCTGCAGCCGCTCAGTCAGACACAATACTGTGAGCTCGTCCAGAACTAAAAGATTTCAGCACCCAATGTTTCTTTTGAAGATTCCAATTAGAACATGAAACATAAAAAACTAACAAAAAGCCATTCTGATGTGAACTTTAAAAACCCAGAAGGGTCATTCCACAAATCTAGAACTAAAAAAGTGATTTAAAACGAATTTGATTAAAAATGCATCAATTAAATTACTATATTTAAAAAGGTTCATGTATGTTGACTGTAAAAAATATACCATAAAAATATAAAATAGATTCTGTCTATATTCCTATTTCAGGTCTGTGTCTCCTTAATAATGATTCTGATCTTTGTATGAACTTAATACAGAAGATAATGTTATTTGCTAGTTGCACATCCATCAAAAAAAAATTTATTTATTTATTTATTATTATTATGTTTTATTTGATATGTCTGTTTCCTCCCTGACCCCTATTTGCTCTTGTTGGATGTGTTTTTGTTTTTTTTTGAAAACAAAAAAATCCTCAAAGAATGATGTTATTATATGTATTTTTAATTAGTATTTAGTATTAGTATTATATTAGATCATTTTATAAGGTGGCATTGTGATGGTTACAGGTTTATGTCTTTTTAATAAATTATGTTCACTAAAATATTTGTATGTACATTATTTTGTGTGTGTGCATGCGTGTGTGTGTGTGTGTATATATATATACACACACACACACACACACACACATATATATATATATATATATATATATATATATATGTCAGATCGTCATTTAGAACCAGACGGTGTCCATTTAGTGTCAGACGGTCACTAACAGTCGGTTCACAACACATCTAATCAGCCTCAGCCAGGCATATTTCAACAATAAGGGTATAGTTGTGCATTTGTTTAAGCAATTTGTTGACAGATGCTTATGCTAAACCGGATTAATAGTAAAATTGTCTTGTGCCGGACTGATTAATGGCCAGCAGATCTCGAGAGGGGATATTATTGTAATAAGGTGGCCTAAGGTGGTGTTGGGCATCAGGCGCTCAGAGCTGCTCCAGGGTCACAGTGGTGACGGTAGAACCGCGTCCAGATTAATTAAGGAGGTATTAGTCAGTCGGGATTGTGGTGGATTCTGAAGCGATTTAGGCAACATGCATCTCAAACCGTCTCCTCGGACCGGCATGTGATCGTGATTTCCACGGCCTAAGTGCCTCGCTCCGATCAAATCCCAATTAAAGACGGTACCACAACACCACAGGCCTCTGGTCCATTTACCTTCTGACTGCATGAGCCCATGCCAACAGCGCCTGATCAACTCAAACCACATACACACGAAAAAAATCATTCTGAACAGGCCACAAATGGTTAGTGCATCTTTCCGTCCTACAGGATAAATGCAGCAACAACAACAAAAATAAATGAATAAAAATAAAATGTCAGAACTGCTCAACTATTCAGAGAGAAGTGTGAAAATCTACATCAGTTTGATCAAAATAAAAAAAACTTTGAGGACATTTTTCTCAACTCCAGTTTTGGCATAGTACAGAGTGTTTTGGTTGTGCCATAATATTTTTTATTATTTGGATTTTTAAATGATGTTTTTACTCATTTTCACCAACAAGGCAGCAGACAAGCATTACAAATGACTGATTGATAGAAAATTATTAAATATTTATTAATATAATTATAATTATATAATTTTTTAATTATTAAAATTATTGTTATATAAAAAAAATACATTTATTTTATGTGTTATTATAATTTATTATAATTGTTTTAATTGTTATATTCTTATTTTAGCTAGTTAAGTGACTAGTCTGTTTGTGATCAACCAGAAATGATAGCAAGATAGATAGATAGATAGATAGATAGACACAGAATATAAGCTTATAGTTGATTTTTGTACTTTATAATAATTTAAATATTATAAATGAAACTTGTTATTTTTAAAGAAAAAATGCATGCGTCATATGTGTACAATTTGCAAAATGACCAAAATTCACTTGCATGTTCATCAGTGCCATTGTATCTTTATATGAGCAGACAATTCTAACATAGATAAGTTTCTAGTAATTTCAAGTAATTAGATGTGAATAGTGCAATTAAGAACAGTAAGGTGCATCAATTTGAAAGGTTTCATAATCTATTTAACCTTATACTGATGCCATTTCATCACTAACATACTTAAAATATAAGGTTTCAGAAGTGGGTTTTCGAAGCAGTGCCATAGAACTATTTTTGGTTCCTCAAACAGGCTTTCAGTAAACAGTTCTTAAAAAGAACCATAGTATTTAGAACTTTTTAACAATCTAAAGAACATTTTGTGGAATGGAAAAGTTCCATAAATGTTCATGGAACCATCAACACCAACAAAATGCCTTCTTTTTCCAAGAGTGTAGTTAACATTGTGTTAACAATATCACTACAAACTCACATTACAGTGCTGCGTCTTATTCACAGATCAAACTCTATCATGTGCTCAGGGGCGGAGCTACTGAAGCTTGCCTCGCACTCACAACTGCAGCTTTTGGGTCTTTTTTCTTGACAAGAAATGCGTTTAAGACGCGGAACCGCCGTATCTCTTTACGACCACATCAAACGGAGACTTTTCAACTTCACTTCAGCGCCAGGCGCGAGTCAAACGAGCTTCAGTAGAACAACAGTGAACTGCGGTCTGATGAGATGTTGTCAGTAAAACTTCGAAAAACAAACTTTCCTGTCCTGTCAGCAGTTTACACTGCTCACGGCGCACACTCTTCAACTGTACGCGAATATGCGGCGCATCACAAATAAAGCGCGCAAGAAGCTATGCATACAACGTCTAATTCTGTCATCAGTTAAGTCATGAAATCACCAAAAAGGCGATTAAATCTGTGCAAAACTGTGCATGCATGTATATGCATCACATTTACGTCTCTCAAATGCATGTAGCTACTAAAATATTCTGCAATTCGAGATTACAATAATAAGGCGCAAGATGATATGCGTATGTATTTTTTTATGTGTAATTTAATGCACATAAAAATGCACTAATGCACAAGTAAATGTGAGCACAGTGCACTTGTACTAGAAAATTGCTAATTTGTAAATTACGTAAATTGTAAATGTAAATCGTTAATTTGTAAAGTACGAAAATGAAACCATATTTAAATGCATAAAAATAACTCCATTTACATTCTGGCATTTATGTGCTGTTGACTTCCGCCCTTTTTCAAAAGTGAACAGGTTTTATTTCCCTTTTCCTTTGTGCACAGTTCAATGTAGGTATAAAGAACCGTTGCAATTAATTTAAACATTCACTGTTTACGTTTTCAGAGTTCATTGATTAGGCTATATCAAATTCAGTGAAGGCTGACTAAACTTTGAAGTGCATGTCTCATACAGAACAAGCTTTGGGGCAGTTGAGAACCAGAACCAAGCAGACTGAGCAATAAAGCTATAGTGAGCCTGGAGGTGAGGAATAATACAAAAAAAAAGTACCTCGATTACAATTAAGTACAAATTAATTGTATTCAGTTGCGTTTTAGGCACTAAAACAGTCCAGTACTGTATAGTCAAACACATTTTTATACTGAAATAGTGAAGATTTCTGTGCCACTCCAGACTGGGTGCCGGCCCCTTCCCCTTGGCCACCCCGATGAACACATCCTGGCTCATCATGCGCTATAAACCCGAACTGTTTTCACTGACTGCATTAGGTTTCCATTTATCCAGCAGAATGAAATAAGTCTCTGTCGGCCATCCTGACAGTTAATGTACTCCTGTTAGTCTAACAACCCGATCATCCCGTCAGTCCCTCCGCGAACAGCAACCCCCCCCCCCCCTAAGATAATCCCCCTCAAAACAAGCACAAAGATGCTCTTTCAATCTCTCTATAAATAGGCTTGACTTCTGCCGCTCCTCCTTTACTAGAAACGGCACCGCGCACTGGAAGACACCCAGATCCTACCGAGAAATCAGTCGGTTTAGAGGCACTGTATATAACAGGTGTATCAGTGTTTGTAAAGCTGAAGCAGCGATCAGAAAGACGCGTCCGGTGGATCCAGTCGCTCGCGCGCAATGGTGATATAAACAGACGCGCCCAACTCCAACCTAAAACCAGACAGACGAACCTAGTCATGTTTCCTCTGCCGATGTTCACACCTGAGCAGGTGGCTCGAGTCTGCGAGAATCTGGAGGAGACTGGAGATATGGAGCGCTTGGGTCGCTTCCTCTGGTCGCTGCCCGCCGCGGTGCCCGGTTCGGCCGGCGAACTCCTCAACCGGCACGAGTCGGTGATGCGCGCCCGCGCTCTCGTCGCCTTCCACGGCGGGAACTTCGAGGCTCTCTATCAGATCCTGCAGAGCCACCGCTTCACGCGGGAGTCCCACGCCAAGCTGCAGGACCTGTGGCTGGACGCGCACTACCGCGAGGCGGAGCGCCTGAGGGGGAGGCCGCTGGGCCCGGTGGAGAAGTACCGCATCCGGAAGAAGTTCCCCCTTCCTCGGACCATCTGGGACGGCGAGCAGAAGACGCACTGCTTTAAGGTGAGACACAAAACTTGGGAAAGATGCAAAACTTCATTGTACACTCTAAGGAAAGAGGGTACAAAATATGTGACTGGGCCGTACTCTTTTCTACTAATATATCTTTAAGGTATGCACCCTTTATGGGTACAAATTGTCCAAAAGTGTGCCTTTTGAAAAGGGACCCCACCAGTGACAGCTTTCAAGTACCTTTTTCTGAGTTTAAAGTTATTAAAGACTGAAGGGAGGATATTTTGGACACACCCACTCATTATGACTACTTGCCACATTTTAAAATAATTAGTCATAAAAGCTTTGAAATAGCACAGATAGAAATTATGCACTGGGTTATGCAGTGGCCATAAATGTTAAACAAATTCAAACTCTCATATTTTATCTTCTCCGAAGTTGCGACGCTCTCAAAGAGCTTCATGAGCTGCATGAGCTGCATGCTTTTTAATCAAGCTTAACTTGTGGATGTTTTTCCTTCACTCATGTATTTAAACGAAACACACACACACACACACACACACATATATATATATATATATATTTGAGACGCCGCCGTCGCTTCTTAAGCCTCTTGAGACGAGGACCACCTGTGGCATTTAAGCTCTCATTCCGCATGATGACTTTCTACCTTTTCACCCTGTTGCAGACGCTAGTGGCCAGATTAACTCACAGCTAAACTGCTTTGCAAAGCCCTCATAACGATTCTCTGAGTCCGTGATTGTTTTTGCAGTCTGGCCGAATGTGAATCGAAACGGAAAGTGGATTATGAAGTGGTCTACGTGCTGGTTCACTTCACAAAGGTGGAAATGCAGGAAATGAAGCTTAATCACTGCAGCAGACAGTAAATGAGATAAGACGGCTAGCGCTATATGTATCTGATCTCGAGCACTTTAACACACAAACCAGGATTGACTTCAGAAGGCCTGATCCCAGAACAGTGCTTTAAGCCTAATAACAACTTTTGCCCTTCTTAGCTTGGATTTCCAAGGACATCATGATGAAATGTCGACTTCTGCACGACTACAAATGTATATAGTGAAGCTAATTGTAACAAATCAACACTACAAACAGTGCAAATGAAGAAAAGTTGATTTTTGACTCGAATCCTCTTTAGCACCCAGATAACAACGTTTCTCCAAGTTATAGTGATCTATAAATGCATCCGACCCTGCAGACTGATTATTTTAAATGTGCTTTAAAGAGATATAATCCTTCTTGATCTTTTTAAGACTCTTTCAACAGCGAATCCGACATTAAAGGCACAATACGTAAGATTTTTTTATTAAAATATCCAAAAACCACTAGAACAGTGTTATATATTTTGCTGACTTGTGTACTTGCATTATCGGCGAAAATCACAAATTGTGCCTTTAAGCTACGCCAAATAGGTTATTACAGTTCATTTCTGAAAATGTGCACAAAAATCTGTTTTAATGAGATCACAGTTTGCACAGAAATATGAAGAAGCACAACTGTTTTCAACACTGATAATAGAAATGTTTCTCGAGCAGCAAATCAGTATATTAGAATGATTTCTGAAGGATCATGTGTCACTGAAGACTGGAGTAATGATGATGAAAATTCAGCTTTACATCACAGGAATAAATTACATTTTAAAATGTATTCAAATAGAAAACGGCTATTTTAATTGTAATAATATTTCACTGTTATTACTGTATTTTTGATCAAATAAATGCAGCCTTGATGAGCAGAAAAGACTTCTTTAAAAATATTACAAATCTTACCAACTCCACATTTTTGAACGGTAATGTAACTTTGAAGTAAATGTCATTTTTTGGACTAAGTGACAGTGCTCTTGGTTTTGTGTCTTTTAGGAGCGAACCCGTAGCCTCCTGAGGGAATGGTACCTGCAGGATCCCTATCCAAACCCCTCCAGAAAGCGTCATCTGGCTCAGGCCACGGGACTCACACCCACTCAGGTGGGAAACTGGTTCAAAAACAGAAGACAGCGGGACAGAGCAGCGTCTGCTAAAAACAGGTACACAAACTCATACACTCTACTAAAAATGAATGGCTGAGAAACAAAAAACAAGGCATTTGTATTTCATTGCTCATTCACTGTTGTTAGTATTAACCAAAACGGTAACACTTTAGAATAGGGAAGTTTCCCTGAACAAACTCTTAATTTGCTGCTTATTAATAATTAGTAAGGTAGTTGTTAAGTTTAGGTACGGTGGATTAAGGGATCTAAAATACGGTTATGCAGAATAAAGCATTAATATGTGCTTTATAAGTACTAATAAACAGCCAATATGCTAATAAGAACGCCAAAAGCACATTTAAAATATACAAACATACAAAAACAAAAGCTAATTCAAAATTTTAATAAAACGCAATTGCAAAAAGCACATTACATGATATTCAGTAAAGGGTAACATTTTACAATAAGGTCTCATTTGTTAACATTAATTAATGCATTAACTAACATGAGCTAACAATGAACAATATATTTTTACAGCATTTATTAACCTTTGTTAATGTTAGTTAATATTAGTTCACAGTGCATTAACTCAGTGGTTCCCAACCCTGGTCCTGGAGGGACCCCAACACTGCACGTTTTGCATGTCTCCTTAATCAAACACACTTGATTCAGGTCATCAGCTCATTAGTAGAGACTCCAAGACCTGAAATTAGTGTGTCAGAGAAAGGAGACATGCAAAATGTGCAGTGTTGGGGTGCCTCAAGGACCAGGGTTGGGAACCACTGCATTAACTAATGTTAACAGATACAACTTTTGATTTTAATAATGTATTTGTAAATGTTGATCTTAACATTAACTAAGATGAATAAATTCTGTAAGTATTTTTCATGTTAACTAATATAGTTAACTAAAGATAACAAATAAAACCTTATTGTGAAGTGTTACCAACTGAAGCTTACAGGAATACAAACAGCTCATATAAATCAATAATAAAAAAATCTATAATTTACTTAATCCTACATTGTTGCTCATATTATTTTCTTGCTCCTGTGAAACACAAAATACGTTTTTAGGCAGAATCTCTATACGTACATCTAAGTAAATGTGTGATTTATACACCCAAGCTCCAAAAAGGACAAAAAGCACTATAAAAGTACGCATATGACATTCCCACATAATTACAAGACAGATTTGGTTGTATTTCTCACACAAAGCTATTGTATAGCTTCAGAAGAGCTGAAATAAAGCGCATGAGTTTTATGTGCTTTTACACTCTTACAAATAAAGGTTGTTTTTTGGCATCGATGGTTCCTTGAAGATCCATGGAATTATTCCATTCCACAAAAGGTTTAAAATGTTCTTCAAAAAAATGGTTCTTTTTTAAGAACCGTACACTTAAAGGTTCTCTGGGAAATCAAAAAATGGTTCTTTTATGACATCACTGCAAAAAACCTCCATTTGGAACCTTTATATTTAAGAGACTAGAGACTGATTTGCATCTCAAGCATAGAGTAAAATATTCTTCTACCTCTCATTTTTTTCGCCAGATTGCAGCAAGATTCATCCCTCCTTCCCTCCAGAAGCTCTCCAGAATGCTCCTCGGAGCACAACACGCACCATCAGGGCTCCTCACCGCATCGCCCCGGGAGCGACTGCAGCTCGGGCACGGGGCCGCGGGGGACCGGGGCCTCCACGCCAGACATATCCGTCAGCAGCGACAGCGAGTTTGAGTCGTGAAGAACGCCTGCACCTGCCCTCCGAGAAACGGACCGAAAGACACGAGAGTTTGAAGCATCTGGAGGGCAGAGGACTGCTGCTTGTACATGCACTTAAAGGAAAGACAGAGAAATCAGCTCGATTTGCTGTTTTAAATTGCAAGAAATCGGACTAAAAAGAACGGAGTTCTCAGTTGCTCCCTTTTTCGTGATCGGTTCGTCCCTGACCAAAGAGGAACTACAATTTTTAGACTGCGGACCTCTTAAAAGGCACGTGCCAAATCAATCTCTTCAGGCTCATTGGCTTTTTCAATCATTCTAATACTCAGGTGGCACAAAATAGGAGACATATCACACAGAAGGACATCTATTATGCAGATTTCGTATTTGAAATCTAATCTAGATCGTCCAGCCAGGCCTTTCATAACACTACAAACATCTGTCAAAACCATGAAGCGGTTTGATCTGCTTGTTCCCACTGAAAACAGAAGGTAGAGGTAACTTGCTGCTGTATGTTTTCATAAGAATGTAGTGTAGATTATGTCAGTTATTGTGCTAACATTGCATTTTGTTGTTTTTTTGTTCTTAAATGAGGATTTAGGTCCATTGGGAATATAATGATGTAGTCTGGATGAACATAGATTAACTGACGTTATGGAATATTAATGCTGCTTACCTTTTAATACGCTGTGAATTTGGACACACTGTGAACACACACCATCTTGCAATCAACTTTCTGTACATTTCATTTCAGTCACTCAGCTTTTTATGTGCCTATACTTTGAGGACGGCATCAAACTTTATGACCGTCTGTCATTTATCATTTCCACACCCATACTCACATGACTGTCTTGTTTTCATTTGTCTGCTGTTTGCAGTTTTGAAATAAATGATATTATTTTTGAATCTAAGAGACTCCAAGTGTGAATTGTAGATGCTAAACGGCTGGTAAAACAAAAGTCGCTCATAAGCATCAACAATAATACAGCTTTACAAAACCTAAATCACCATTTCAAGGAATAATTAATGATAAATGAGAATTTTGTCATAATTTACTCACTCTCATGTCATTACAAATCTGCACAACTTTCTCTAAAACGCAAAAGAAGAAATTCTGATCTTTCGATCCCTACTTGTATATAAAAATTCATATTGCTTTGTTACGTATACATTTTCTCAATTATAAGGTAACATTTTACAGTAATTGAAATATCTATTGTCTTTTGAAATATAATACAAATATATTTACTGTATGATACGTTCACTATCACTACAAATTATTTTTTCATTAAATTGCATATTTTTAGAGTGTAACTCTGCAGGATAAAAGGTTTTTCTTTTGGGATTTTTACGGTTTTACTGTAAAAATTGCTTCGTTAAATAGACTAAACATTTTCACAATTATAAGGTTTTTATGTATAATTTTCCACAATATTTAAATGACATGTATTGTCTTTTAAAATGCAACATTTTATTGTATGATAATGTGACTTAAAAGGTCTTTCCTTTGGGATTTCATTTTTTTTTTTTTACCGTAAAAATACATGCATTAGTTTCTTAATTATAAATTCTCAATTATAAGGTAGTTCGTTATTTTTATGCATCATTTTTCACAATATTTTACAGTTTTTTATTTACATATTTCAGATATATACATCTTTCAAAGTATAATATATTTACTGTACGATAAGGTGACTGGCAGTTCACCAATTAACAGGTTTTACTGTAAGATTTCTGCATTATCTTTCCATGAAATGTCATATTTTTAGAGTGTAACAAGCAGTGCTTGCAGTGAAGGCGGAGTCGCTCTGTTCCTCCTCAGGTAAACCTGCCCCTTTAAATCTGACCTCACTTCACAAAACAGCTTGACTGAGACTGACGAGCGTCTGCATCCTCACTGAATGCACTGCAGCTCCTCTGAAACAGCATGGACAGCGGCGGGAGGAAAGTGGTCGTCTGTGACAATGGGACGGGGGTAAGAGATTTACAAGTCATTATTCTGGGGCTAAAACTCTATGTAAGCAATATATCTGCTGCTAGAGACTATCACTGATTTAAATATTGGATACTGATGCACAGGACTGAACAGCAACACTATTTGTGTTTAAATGAATGTTGAAGGAAACTTGTTTTGATTCAGAAACTGTCATAGAACTAAATATATATTGCCGTTTTAAAAGCTTCCAACATTCTTAACTAAATTTTTAAACACAAATAAGATTTCAGAAACTTTATTTGCATGACTTTACTGTAGTGACTGCATTGCTGCATGCCTGCCGTGGGCTCATGCAGAGGCCTGTTGCATTGCTGAAATCTGTCTGAACACGTCTGCCCAGAAACACCACTCACTTCACCTTAAAAGGTGGCAGGGAAAAAGATACATGGTTATTGGTCACAAATGAGGAAGTGCTTTAAACTTTGAAGTTTGCTAGTGTTGTGCTTCTCTAGTCTGGAGATTCATGACCTGAAACTTTAAAACACAGTTTAGTGAACATAAAGGGAAGTTAGAGGGAGTTGGGGAAGTTGCAGTTCTTCAAAACAAGCTAATCTCAGACAATTCGGTGCAATATCTGCAGCGCTGACCTTAGAAAACTGAAATAGGTATAGAAGAGAACTGAGTTGTCATCTTCTCACATAATGTCTGCAGTTTGTCAAGTGTGGTTTTGCTGGCTCCAATTTTCCCGATCACATCTTCCCAGCCCTGGTGGGACGTCCCATCATTCGCTCAGACACAAAAGTTGGGAATATAGAGATCAAGGTGAGTTATCCGGGCAAAACAACACAAAAATACACACGCGCACACACACACACACACACACACACGCACACGCGCATGCGCGCACACACACACACACACACACACACACACACACAAGCACGCACACAGTCTCACACGCACGCACACACACACACACCAGTGTTGTTATCGTTAACTAAAACTAAAATTATTACAATTGTTTCCCTAATTAAAATAAAGCTGAAATAAAAATATAACATGAAAAAATTTAATGAAATTTTAAAATGTTGCAATACCAAGTAGTGAAATAAATACAGTTAAAACAATAAAATTACATTGAAATAAAACTGTTAAAACAAATAAAAAGAAATTAAAGTTATACAAAAATATTTAAAAAACAATAAAAATGACAAAAGAACATAAAACTACTAAAACTTAAACTAAAATTAAAATACAACCTGAAAATATAAAACTATTCAAAATATTAATAAATATATAATATATAGCATATTAATAAATACACTAATACACATTGTAGCAATAAAACATCTCTCATTTATTACAGTTTACTATTTCAAATAACTATATTCCTCGTTTTAATATATATTTTATTGTGGTTTTAAGTGCCTTATTCTATATTATTTAATGCAATAATATATCCCTTGCACTCTCGTACATTTCAAGGCTGTTTCAAATGTTTCAATAACCACAAAAAGATAATGTAAACAACACATGCAATGCCATATTTATTATTCTAAAATAGATGTATATTTCTCAGATATGTAACAAAATTTTATTTTTAAAAAGTTTCAAAGATTGTTGACGTTAGACAGTAGATTATTTGGGAGTTGCGTGAGATGCAGAAACTATACTCCATCTTTAAATTAGCAGAATATAGAATTAATGGAATACACAGATGAATTTTAAATGAACTGAATAAAAATCAATTTTTATTAAAGTAAATAAGATTAATTAAAAATCCAATACCCTCAGTAATTCAGTGATTTGAATACTCGTTCAATACTGAAATCAACACTGTTCACCTGTCTTCAGGATCTGATGGTTGGTGACGAGGCGAGCGAATGCCGCTCCATGCTGGAGGTCTCGTACCCCATGGAGAACGGGATGGTCCGCTGCTGGGAGGACATGCTGCACCTGTGGGATCACACGTTCGGCCCGCGGCGGCTCAACATCAGCCCTCCCGACTGTAAGGTCCTGCTGACGGAGCCGCCCCTGAATCCGCTGAAGAACCGGCAGAAGATCGCCGAGGTCATGTTTGAGACCTACAAGTTCCACGGCATCTACATCGCCATTCAGGCCGTGCTGACTCTCTACGCTCAGGGTAAAACAGACCGTTCTCTAATGTGTTCAACAAAGAAAAAGGGTTGCCAGGTCTGCGAAACAAAACTAGGCCAATGGCCATCAAAAATAGGCCAGAATAGCTCAATCACCCTGTTATCAAAACACTGTAAAAAATAAATAAAATGCTGCGATTAGTTATCACAACTCATAATTTATCATTAGAATAATTAGTGATGCCTTATTGTTTCAACTTTTAAAAAAAAGTAAGCGGAAGATTAAAAAGTAGGTTTAGGTCTCAACAAAAACTGTAAATGTAAAAATTTTTTTTACAGTGAACTCAAAATACACCACTCCCATCAGTGTAGGGATTCTGGGCCCACTGCACAGAATTTGCTATGGGGCCCCCCTCAAAATCACGTTCAGTGGTGGGGGGGGCCCCTCTCAGCCTCTGGGCCCTATGCACTCTGTCACTTTTATGCATTATACCAAAGTCCTTTTTAAGGAAATTCTGTTCACTCGGCGGCTGTATACGCAACGCCTCCGGGCAACTATTTCGGGCATCCAAGATGCCAAGTCCTTTCTACTTTAAATGGGGAAATCCTGAAATCTCAAAAACCTCTTACTACACACAGGTTTAAATAGCACGTTTCAAATCAGCAACATAATCTGACATGAACTGCCCCATAAATATTGTTTCTTAAGCTCAAATAGCATTAAAAAACCTTATATGTCGGGTCGATCGATGACTTACCAATCGCCGATTGTCTGTTTTATTTAAAAGGCGGGATTTGAAAATCACTCATAATCAGTCTGTTTTCTAAGAAGCCCAGAGGCTGAATGGGACGCTCCCTCACAAAACCTGTCATCTTGCACATCACTGGTTGAATATAAAATGGGGAAAATAAAGCAATAAGCCCCGTGAAGCCGTGGTTTACAGTGAATTTATAACAGCTAAACAGAGGTGTGTGTTTGTAGAGTAATTTACAACAGCGTTGAACGTGGCTCAGCCAATCAGAATCAAGGACCGGAACTCTCCGTTTTATAATATATGAATATAAATGTTTCAGTCAAATATGCAAAATGTCAAACCTATGAGAAAAAATAAAATAAAAAATCAACCAGCGACAACCGTATAAAGGGGGCCCAATTTCGAAAACCCTGAATGTACGCTTTGTTCGTGTGGCAGGTTTGTTGACCGGTGTGGTGATCGACTCCGGGGATGGTGTGACTCACATCTGTCCCGTTTACGAGGGCTTCTCTCTCCCTCATCTCACACGCCGCTTAGACATCGCAGGACGTGACATCACGCGCTATCTGATTAAGGTGACATTTTCATATTCTCTGTTCTCACCATGGAAGCTGAGGAGGACCACTTCAGTGCGATGTTACCGGTTTAGTTCGTTCACCCCCCAAAATGAGCTTTTGACGGTCCAATGTTGTTTCATGGTGCTTAGATTAATAGAAAGTTCATCAAAGCCCCATTTCCTGTAATCAACATTACTGTCGACAGGGTTTAATTCTATTGAACCTTGGACATTTCATTAAACTGTCTATTTTGCAGACTCATTTTCATAAATGATCTCAAAATGGATCAAAACTAGAATCAATCTAGAATTATTGATTTATTTTTCAAAAGATCAATCTGCATCTGGCATTATCAATATATGCCAAGTGTTAGCAAAAAATACATCTTTCATCTGTTATATATTCATCCAGTATATTCCATCCATGTAGCTTTTGCTTCTGCGAGGCTATGCCTTCAACCACACGGCGGACTTCGAGACGGTGCGGATGATG